CTAGTTGGCCTTTAATCTTTAGCCTTATTAATATAGTTTATAGTTCATAGTGAGGAAAGATTTTATACATCTTGTTACTTTTTCTTTTCTATGTCCTCTCAATAATAGCTCCTCTCTAGGATGGAGGCTAGGTATTTTCTCTTAGGCTCTTCTTTGAGTTATAAAAGAAACTGAACCGACTTAGCTCTTCTCAAAACAACCCATTGCAGGTCCTCACCATTGCTTGGTAAGTTGTCATTTTCACCCAGGAATAGACCAAAAAAATGTTATAGGCCAAAGAGGCAGTAGAAAAATTGACAAGAACCTAAGTTTCCTGGCACTGTCTTCTCACAGCACTCAGCCCTTACAAACCAATTTCCGTGAGACAAGCAAAAACAGTTTGTACTAAATGTCAGTGAAATAAAGTAGATTAGAGATGTTAGATACCAAAAAAAAGGAGAAAATCTGTCAGTAAAAAGAAATTGCTCTTCTAAAGAGGGAGCCCATCATTTACATTTACAGCATTTCTCAGATAGAGTCAGGGCTCCTGGAATTTGGCAGTTAGGCTAAGGCTAGTTTCTAGAGAAGGTTAAATGAAGTCTGCAGTGATATTTTTGAATTCTTGACAATTTGGTAACAGTGATAACAAGCAGGAGACCTGTCAATACTGCTGTCCCCCAAATCTCCTCCTGGTCCTAGGTAAACTGCTATTTCCTAGCTTCCCTGAATGCCCTCTCTGAATACTCCAAAGCCATTTCTGAGGAGAATTAGCAGATAGAGTTTGTTAGTTGTCACTTCTGGTCCATAGTTCAACTTGCAGGCTGTTGCCTTATTTTAAATTACATTTGGGGCTTCCGATCTCAGACACTGGGATTGCTGGAGACTTGCAGTAGCATAGACTTCAGTGCATCTCGCTCTATCAATCATCAGTGACAAGACGCCAGTCACCAAAAAAGGGAAGTGTTGCTTCATTGAATACAATTTGCTGATTTCAACTTTTTTTTTTCGGTACTATCATTCACATTGCTGTCTTCGTGCAGTTTTGCTGCAGAATCTTCTCGCACACAGCATTGTTGAATACTGGCACAAGTGACATCTACTGTCTTTGTAGTTTCTCCCAAACCAGGGAATTTGGGAAAGTTTTCATTCTTAGCAAGTGACAAACATTTCCTGCCCAAACTCAAGTCTCTGCTGGTGAATCCTACTGCTCCTTGTTGGGAGGTTGTCTATAATTGCCCACCCAGGAACAGATGTCAGATTAGCAGCAGGGCTGGGACACAACCCTGAGATTTCTCCATTGCTTCTGGACCAAACTGGAAACCTGCCTTGCTCATTAAGCTCTCTCCAGGGACCCTTCCTCCCCTCAGCCACATCCCTATTTATAATCTTCTGAAGGGCTGAGTAGCAGCCCTCCTCCTCCACCCCAATCCCCTCCATTTGCCATTCTTTGCCTCTGGACACGTTGGGAACCAGCAGCTGGTTTTGCTTTAGCTAGAAATCTAGGGTTTGAAATTTCCCTAGAAGTCAAATCATTTTTTTCAGGGAACGCCATTCACAAGTGATCAATGTCTGAAGTGGAGAAAATTTTGCCCAACACTTTCTAAGCACAAATTTTAGAATGGGCCCCTTAAGCCTTTGTTCACTGCAGAACAAATGCATCTCCAGGCATTTCCCCACCCCCAAACATGGGGGCTACTTGGGTGGCATTGTACCTATGGAGAGAGATAAAGGAAGACTTTCGCACTTTCACCCTGCACACTAGAGTTCCATGAGTAATTAGCCCTCAATAAGCTGATTCACTGATCTTCAGCAAGTGGGTATTTCCTGCAAGGGGGGAGGATTTAGCTAACACTGGTGTTGTATATAAATAACTTGGTGATGTAGCTACAGAGAGTCCTAAGAATTCCCTCTAAATATCTCATGTTGAATTGTCAGAACCTTGAACTATTAGTAGGGGACTATGGATGCTGCTTCCAAATGCAGACAGTGGGGCACAGAGGAAAGAGCAGTATGCTTGTCCCTGGAAGCCCCTGGTCATCTCAGGTTCCTGCTTGTTACTGTCATCCCTTCTCTGAGAATGAGGGAATGGATGATAAGGATCATAGCACTTGCCCACCCATTTCACAGGAGTGGAGTGAGGAAAATGCTTTGTGAATCTGTAAGTCTTACAGAACCATATTTTTCTTCCTTACTGATCTATTAGAATCCCTACAGCATTTGTGCCTTCAAACCTTGAACGTGTTGGTTAAATTGTAGATAGAGGGAAGGGAATAAACATTTATAAAATGCCTACCACGGGACAGGGTCTGTGCTAAGTACTTTTAACAAATATTATCTCATTTAATTTTCAAAACAACCCTAGGAGGTTACTGAGGAATACTACTTGAGGATACTGAGGAAACTAGAGCTTAAGTGACTAGCCCAGGATCACACAGCTAGCAAGTCACTGATGCTATAACTGAACTTAGGCCTTTCTGATTCCTGGCCCAGTGCTCTATCTACTGAGCCACCTTCAGACAATTTAGCCACCAGTAAGGCAAGTTCCCATTATCCCATGTAACAAAGAAAAGTTTGGGTTTTTTAATTTTTAAAGAAATCTTATATTTTATCATTGCTAGACTAAAGCATGCTCTCCATCTCCCCCTCTCAGTGGATCTGTCTCCCACTATTTCTCCTCCTCTTCCTCTTCTTCATCATCTTCCTCCTCCTCCTTCTCTTCATCATCATCATCATCATCTTATTTTACTCCTTCTTCTCCTTCTCCTTCTGCTTTTCCTTCTCCTTCTCCTCTTCCTCCTCCTCCTTCTTCTTTCTCTCAATAATACTAGAACCTCCACATGTCAAAAAGATACCTGAGACCTGGGCCTTGGTCCCATGGAATGTGACATGAGTGTTAGTCTCAACAATAACAACTGACATTTTACTTAGCCCTTGACTGTTTGGAAAGCACTGCACACACTTTGCCTCATTTATGCTTCATCATAGCCCAATAAGGTGGGTATTATAGGTATTATTATCTCCAATTTACTGATGAGGAAATTAGAGAACAGGGAAGTCATGACGTGCCCAAGGGCACACAGCTAGATGATGGAATTTGAAGTTGGATTTTCCCGGCTTGGAGTCAATACTCTGTCTACTGTGCTATGCACTCACTAAGAGGGGGTTATCTTCTACCATAAATAAGTCTTAACTGGTGTCATTTCATTTGATTTTAGTTCCCAACTCAGAGATTTGGATCTTTCTAATACTGTGGATAAATACCAACTACAATCTGGCATTTGCTGCCTTCTTCCCACAGTTCTGTGCCCTTGGATTGTTGACTGCCTTCCTTCAGTGAGGGTTTACTGTATGAATAGGTGCATGGACCAATGGTTCAATTTTTAATGGAGGGGGCAGGAGAACTGCTTAAGATCCCAGTCTAATCTGCCCTTTGACCTACTCTTTACCCTAGTACTCTTCTACTGTGATCCCAGGTAGAGCAGGCAAATCCTCAGCAAAATGGAATTAGTTGTATTTGCCACAAATCTGCTTTGAAGGAATGTCGGTGATTAGGGAAGGACTGTTTGTACCAGGCAAGATCCAGGGGATATTGAAAATGACGCATTGATTGGTGACATTTTTCTACAGACCTCCCCGTTCCAGAATCTCAATGCCATTCTTCTTTAACATCACCTTATTTTAAATGCTTTCCTCTCAGCTGTGACTCCCAGCCCCCAAGGCTAGCCAGGAGGACCAAGTTCTCAGACATTCCTTCCTCCACCCCCAAGTTAGAATGGTCAGTCAACCATGGAGGCAGCCTTCAATAGCTTGGAGTATGGCTCTTCCTCACCTCAGGAGTATCTACCTACCTCACAGTGGGGATTACAAAGGCCAATCTAATTTAATTGATTAACACTTGCAAAGCTTTTGGAGTTCTTCAGAGGAAGCTATTTATACATTTGGGAGCTACCCAGAGATAACAAAATTAAAAAATAAAAACCCCAACAACAGTGTAAAGCAGAGGATGGTTATCAAAATGCCTTAGGACTTTCAGCAAGAAAAAGACATAAACACAAGATTAAAAGGTATTAGTAGTCTGGCTGAGGTTAGAGACCGAAATGTAAATTCTTTTCTTTAAAGACTTTTAAAACAAAAATTTGGAAATTCTTTTCTTCACCAATAGTCTCATTTCCTATGGAAATGTAAGTTTCTGCCTTATAGTGAGTAGGTCAGACCTAGGTTAACATCATTAACCTGTTTTAAATTCTTAGGGCACAGCAAGTGTCTCACATACTTATATAATTTTTTTACGCTTGGGCTTTAAACATGTTTCCCTGCTTTAAATAGACGTTCATTCACTTTCCATCTTGGTTACAGGACCTCCTAGCTTAGCATAACAGCCCAACAAAATAAGGGTAGATATAAACTATGTAATTTACTCACAGGCATAAATGGATGTATAAATATAAAAAATGTGCACAAAGCTTGATGCCATGCCTGGCTTCATTGTGACCTAATGTCTGTAATATGTAAATATGGGGCTTACTTTGGAAAGAAAAGAAGTTTTAATATACAGATTCATCTAAAGTTCTTTCCCTTTGACATAAACAGAAACGAAGAGAGGAGAAATAATGTTCTTTCACAATAAATAAGAACACAGTGGCAAAGGTTACCATTGAAGGGATTATGTATGATAGGAACCAAAGTAAAAACTTTCACTTTTCCTTTAATATGAAGACATTGTTATCAAAAACACATACTCCACAAACACTTTGATAACAAATGATCTCACCCTATCTTTGAAGTGCTTTCATTTCTTTTGCTACCCACTGTGTTCCTTATCAGAAGGCCAAGTGTAAGAAGTTTCCTGGTTTATGATTAGGAAAGAATCTGATAGATTAGAAGACTCAATTGAAGTTGGACATAATAAGTATTAAAGTATTACATGACATTAATCCTGCCATTCCATTACTCTCTCAATCATTGTGCACAGACTAATTATTCTGAAGCCAGTGTTCAGGAGAAAATAGAAACATACTTACACTGGGCTGGAGTAATCTCTTTATTGCATCAACAAGGCTAGCTCTGTACTGGTCCAGAAACAGGCTGACATTGAGAAGAGAACAGAATCCAGATTAAAATGGGTTTTCAATTCTAATGATACTAATGCAGATAAGTACAAGGCTAATTACCCATGTTGACACAAGGCTAAAAAGGAGAAATTGAAGTCTGAATTTCCTTCTATTCATATGCTGTTATAGAAAAGGGGGAGGGGAAAGATATCATAACGAATGTCAACCAAATCAAGTCAAAACACCAATAGGCATTGGTGTTGGATTCACATCTGACTGGGCTAGCTAGGGTGGTAGGGAGAAGGTGGGCTAGTGGGGTTCTGAGTATACTATTCATGTCACCCAGGGTTTAAGTTCATCATAGCTTAGATCCTTGTAGACTTAGCTCTTCTACCCACCTATTGGGTGATACCATATCACCCAATACCCTAGGTCACCTTATCCTACCCACTCCTTCCTCGGGCACTCATTTTCTGAAACAGGACAAAATGGATTGAATAGAATCTGCTGTTTCAAACTTCATCACAGTCCACTCCAGACTGGTACAATATATGTATGTATATGTATGTATGTATGTGTGTATGTATGTATGTACTCCTGTGTATGTGTGGGTGTGTGCCAGCAACTAGGTTTCATCCCTATACCTGTATATAGCCTCAACCAATTTGCTTTCAGACCATGTCCACAATGGACCATGGTTGCTCTTAACTGCCCCTCTCTTTCTTGAGTCCCTTTGCTCTCACACCATGTTCTGAACACAGTGCTCCTGACCTCTGCACACACTCTCACACCCTCTTTCCAATCCCAAATGTTCAACCACTGCAACTACTCTCTCTCTCCTACCTCTACTCAACTCCCCCAGCTCACTGAAATGTACAAGATCCTTGTCCACATCTCAGTTTCTGATTCTATAATACTGTCTCCCTACCATGTCGTGTAGCTCTTAGCCCAATCTCCTAAATGGCCAATCAACATATAGCAACGTTGAGGCTGGCTACTTCCTAGTACTCCTAAATATTCTCAGAACTGCAGATCTTTTGCTTCCCTTAGAAAGGCAGGGAGAAAATCTCCCCTTTTCAGGTCTACTGTCTCTCAAGCTCTCAAGTCTCAGGAGATTTCTGAGGCTGCCTACCAAAACAATGGGATCCTCCAGCAACCTATCTTATACAAATCAATGAATAGCAGTGAAATGGTAATGAATTTCTATGACTATAAATGCCATTGAGGTTGGACTCAAACCAGTGACCTAGAAGTAAAAGGCTCCATAACAAAGGATCCAGTCTAGTCATGCTGTGACAGAGGTCATAGAAACGCTTGCTTTTTTGCCTTGACCTCCATGTTGATATCTAGTTCAACGTGATCTTTCATTTTTCTCTTCTGACCTCTTAATAGCATCTGTTGTTGGTCTGTCACTCTCCAAATTGCTCTTGTCTGGCCTTGTCTTCATTAGGCTTTGCCTTGGAGACCTGGAGTATAACATCTTTCTCTGGAGTTAGAAACTCCTCATGGATCCCCAGACTTGAGCCAGTTGTAACCAGATGGGATATTCACAAGCTTAGGCTGAGCCTGCAGTTTTTTACTGTAGCAGAGGAAAAGTTTCCTGATGAATGCTTCCTCAGCTGAAACCATACTGTTGTATGGATGAACTATTTTACCAAGAGCAACGTTTGTGCGGTATCCCGAGGAATGATTCTCCAGTCTCCCCTTTTGGAGTGTGTCTCAGTAAAATAAAGCTGTTATAATAGGTCAATCACATTCATAGGGCACTTTCTGCCTCTATTCTTACTTTTATAGTAAAAGGTGCCATGAGGAGTTAAATAGAACATGAATGAAAGAGTGAAACATATATTAAGCATTTACTATGTGCAAAGCACTGTTCTAAGTGTTGGGGGTACAAGGAGAAGAGTAAGATAGGCCCTGCTCTCAAGGAGCTCACGTTTTAATGGAGGAGACAACACATACGGAAGGTTTCAGCAGTAAGTCAGATGGACAAGTCCCACGGTCCCCAGGATACAGGGGCAAAGCAGATATTGATGCTTTCTTCTTTAATGTTATTTCCACTGATAGCATCCTATCAGTTTCTGACGTTGGACATTCTGATGTTGACATTGCCTAGGGCAGTGGTGGCCAGAAGTCTTGAGTTGCTGTGAGCAGTAGCCAGGCTACTCAATAAAATACAGGGACTGCTTTCCTGGACAATGGCTGAGGCACTAGGCTGGGAAGCACTTTGATTCCCCAGGCTCTTGAGTTCAGGGTCGGAGGGGAGATGGTGGTCAAGTGGTAATAGGGGTGACTGGCCTGGCACGTTCTATCTCCTGTTTCTGTCTCAGCATGCCTTGTTGCTTCAGCTAGCCTGGCTTGATTGCCCCACGTGTGACAAGTGGTTGATAGCTGGTGGGGATGGCTAAACCCTTCTTCCCAGGAGATGCTTCCTCAGGTGATGGTTGTAAGGGCTGGACTGGAAGCTGGAATAAAGGAAGGGGCTTGCCACCACTCCCAGGGTTCCTGTGCCTCTCTGCCGGTAGGTTGAAATTGGTCAGCAGATGCTGGTGGTGGTGATGAAGGTATAATACTTCGCCATAAAGATTTCTCCCCTAATAATGGCTGTGAAGGATGGGTGGGAAGCAGGTCTGGTAGACTGAAGGGGCACTATGGTTCCCAAAGCTCTTGGGCTTAGGGTCCTTGGCTGTCCCTATTAGGGTCAGAGGGGAGATGGCAGTCAAGGTGGTGGTGGGGATTGGACTCTCTTGGCACATTCTGTCTCTTGTCTCTCCCCAAGGATGCCATGGTGTTTCTGTTAGTAGTTTGGTTAGAAGATGACGAAGTCTCTGCCCTTGAGGAGCTTAATGGGGGAGACGAAAGAGCCAAAAAACCCAAATAATACTCTCATATATCTATAGTGATTTAAAGTTTCCAAATCACTTTTCTCATGACACTATGAGGAAATTAGGTGGAAGAATCACCATTCCTCTACTACTGATGAAGAAAGCTGGGGTCAGAGAGATGAAATTACTTGGGATTGAACCTAGGCCTCTGGGTTCTGAGTCCAGGAAGCCATGTTATCTTTGTGGACATATAGACACATACTGTTGAATCTTTGCTTGGATATATTTAGGTGCTCTGTGCATGTGCAAGGACTCACAGGAGAGATTCTCCACCCAGGATTCTCTTTCTAGGATGTCCTAGTGCTGGAGGGATTTACTGGAGAAAAAATGACTAGTTTTTTCTTCTTTTGTTTGAGACTGCAATTGCACAGTCAATTTTCTAGTGTGTTTACCAGTCTGACTAGTTTTTCCAAGGTAACTTAAAATTAAAAAAACTTATTCTGAACTTAAAAACACCACATACAATGAGTGTTTCCATATACAGAGTAGATCAGAAAAAAAGGTTATAAGTGAAAACTGCTTATCTTTTATGAATAGCTTGCTTTTCCTTTTAATTTTGTAATAAATTCAAAACATAACTTTCAAAGCTGTCCTACTTGTCTGTGTTTCCTTCTGGGCTTCCCTCTGTTCCCTTCTGTGTATTTAAAAAAATGCTTCAATGATCCTTTTTCTACTTTTTTTTTCTTTTTGATAACCTTATCACTAACTCCTTTTCACTTCTCACTTTCCCCCATTAAAAAAAAAAAGAAAAACTAAATTCTTATAACAAATATGCAAAATCAAGCAAAACAAATTCCCACATTGGTTGTATCTAAAAATGCCCTAGTCTGTGCTCTGAGTCCTCTACCTTTTGAGAAAACTTTCACATTGCTGAATGCATGTGTACTGATGTTCAGTGTATTTGTGTATCCATTACAAGTACAGAAGCTGATATGAGTATTTTAGATGTTACATTCTTAGAATACTGGTGCCTAGTAATTCATCTAGAGCACAATGTAGGAGCTCATTCATGTATTTTTTTTTAATTTTACTTTTGAGCATATTTATGCCGCTTGCCTTATTGAGAGATGAGAGTGGACAGCTAATCCAAGATCCTTATGGACTGTGGGTCCAAAGGATAAGGTTTGTCTGATGGCCTAAAAGCCTAAGGTGATCACCTCCAAGGGCTTAATCCCTTTTTGGGAACCCCACAACTCTTAGGTACTTATCTGATTTTGATTTCTTTTTTTAAGCTAGCCTATTTTTCTAGTGAGGGGTAAGTCTGGACCTCCGTTAAGATTACTGTAGATGTTATAGGGGTTCACTGTGGAAATTTCTAGTACCCATGTGCTGCAGGGACCTATTAAAAAGGTTTGTCTAGACCTCTAGTTGGAATGCACTCTGTGCTGCAGAGATCCTGGAGAAATTCTGAGTGTCCTCTGTGTTAGAGGGATGCAGAGGAATTTTCACCCATGACAATTAGGTTTCTTACTGAAAGATGGTGAGGGGAGACGACTTCCAGACAACCCCAGGTTCTCTATCCTTGTTAGGAGTTCTGTTTGGACCAGCCTTTCCCTCTGAGGTGGGAAATCTGATTATCTTTTTTTCTTTTCTTTTCTTTTTTTTAAATGTCTTTGTATTGGAGCAAGCACAAGATAAGCAAGCAGTAACCTATTAGAATTTTGTTAAATGGTCTCTATATGTAGAACTGTATCAACATATATTTGTTGAGGTGGGTATAATCTCCAGGCCCTCTAGCTATGGTGGGCCCGAATCCTCATGGAAGAATGTTAATTCCTAGTCTGTTAAAGAACTGTGCCGCATTAAGTCTCTTTAGCACATGACACTGAGGAAGGCTCTCCAAAGAATAATGCTTGGGCCTCCCCAAGTCACCAGAGAACTATTCAAAACTGAAAAGCACTTTGGTTGATTTGCTGGGGAAAACAAATGTTTAACTGGGGAGGAGATTTGAGAGTGGATGAGTGCGCTGGAATTTGGCTCTCCTCCTCCTCCAGCTGTTTGATGCAATCACAGAAATGAAGGAGCAGAAATCAGAGCTATTACATGTTAACAAAGTTAAAAACAACAACAACAACAAAACTCTAAGTTCTGTCATGTCTTTACAAAGTTTGAAAAATTCTCTGATTGAATTGGAAGAGGAACCTGGCCA